CTGCCACTGGGGGCCTGTGCCCTGGGTGGGGCGGGGGAGCGGCGGTGGTGGCCACAGGCAGGCCAGGTTGGCATCTCTGTCTCCAAGGTCCACAGTCACACCGCCTTGGAAACTACATGTGTAACCTGTGGAAAACATTGTTTTCCTTGATGAATCATGTTCTAAGTTGGGAGAAAATTTCACTTGATAGTTGAAGTATTAAAAAGAAATCATAAAGGGTTCCATTCAACAGATGCTAAGAAAGTTTGTCCCCTCAGGCCCCGACACTGCCCCAGCTGTGTTTGTGTTCCTTTTCTAGAAAATTCTATCAGGTGGAGCCTGAGATTTTAGAGCCCAAGGTGGATGTCTCGCCTATGTCCAAGCCGCGCTGGGCAGGGCAGGGAGGCTCAGTGCAGGGACGGTTTGGCTGAGGCCGCGGCCTGCGTCTGTCTGCACAGTCACTCACCTGCCTGCCTCAGTTTTCCCTTCTGGGTAACAGGGTAAAACTCGGCTCACCTACCCCCTGCATCTGAGGAAGCACCGAACTGCGAAACATAGGTAACAGCACTTCGTGAACTGAAAAAAAAAAATTGTTTGTCATCATAAATGTAGTTTCAATCCACAAACTTCCATTTCAGACCAGCCCCCTGCAAGTGCACTTTGCTCCTGAGGACAGTGCTACCTGAGTGGTCAACCAGCCCCGGGCGCTGGGGACTCATGCTGCAGCCCGGAGACCCAGGGCAGCCCTCTTGGGTCCCAGCCACGCCCCGACTTAACACCAGAAGGCCTTGCTGCAGGGTGGCCTCGCCAGTGAAGGAGTCCAAGCCACGGCCCCGCGTCTGTGCAGTGCACAGGCGAACCATCTGAGCGGGGTGGAGAGTGTGGCCCGGAGGGGGACCTGGAGCTGCCCAGAGCTGGCCAGGGAGATCCGGGGGACAGGCGGTCAAAGCCAGGTCTGCGATGGTCGGCTGCGCGTTCCGGTTTTCCACCAACCTCGTGCCCGCGGCACTGCCTGCTGGCGGGCGGCGCGGGGTACAGTGTGGGTCACTCTGATAGCCACCGTCACTGCATGGACATGGTGCGGCGAGGCCGCAGGACAGAGAGAGAACCAGGGTAAGCAGGGTGGAGGAGGCTATGGGGGTCTCCCACCTTGGCAAGGAACACCCCATCCTCATCCTCTGCAGAGGGGGCTTGTTCTAAGTGGGAGCAGAGCCAGCCCTGCTGCCCTCAGGGCATGTCCACGTCCCCCACAGGTCATGCCCAGGACAGGCGGAACATCACTCATGGGGGGGTCTCACTCATGAGGAGGCTTTATCCCCGAGGCCCCCTGGCCTGGAGTCAGGGTTGGGGTCTGGGGGGAGCCCCTCCCCTCACTCTGTCCTCACTTCCTCTATCCCGTCTCTCTGGCCCCCGGCACCTAGGGACTTTTGTGGGAGGTAGTAGCAGGGCTACTGCAGGTTTGAAGGGACCCTCCAGAGCAGCTGGTGGCACACTGGCAGGTGACCTTGGAAGGGCCTGGCTGGGCAGGCGAGCTCTCCAGGTGAGAGGAGCCAAGGCGCTGGGGGCAGAAGGAGGAACTGGGCTGAGATGTCCAGGAGGGCTGGGGGACAGGGCTGTCCCCGAGGACCTGAGGGAAGGGTGGGGTTGGAGACAGGGAGGAAACCAGCTCATCTCTGGGCCCCTCCATAAAGGCCCTGCTGTCCTCCTGGAGTGGACCTTGTGTCTCTGGGACCCTGACCCTGGGCAGGGAGGTAGCAGCCCCTCCCCCAACCTCAGACTCAACCAACAGCGCTCCTGGCAGAGGGTCCCTCCGGCTGAAGGACACTGGGGGCGGATACAACCAAGGGTCTGGCACACCCAGGCCCTTACTGTGGCTGGAGGAACTAGCAGGGGGCTGGACCACCCCCTCCGGCCTCACCTGTTGCCTGGACATTTCCTTAGAGGAAAAAAGGGAAGGGGGATGGAAGAAGGGAGTAAGGGGAGGAGGGAATAAAGGATATTTTTTTTAAAGGAAGAAGGCCCTGCCCTCGGGCTGGAGTCTGTGTGGCAGAGGGGGCGCTGTTGCTCCACGGAGGGAGGTCGGGAGAGGGGAGAAATGGGAGGGTCTGGGGAGGGGAAGGAGGCGGTGGAAGGGGGGGTGCTCCAGGCTGACTGGGCACTCAGCCCCCATCCCCACGGAGGCCTGGGCAGCCCCAGAGGCTCCTTCGGCCACTGTCCGTGGGAACGTGGGAGATTTCCAACAGGATGTCTTTCCTTCTTGCTCCCACCCACCCTCCTGGTTTTAAAGCCACGACAGCAGAGCTGTGGACCCTTCCCGTTCTCCCCCCGCCTGACTTTCCAGGCACCAAGAGTCTCAGGGACTTGGGAATGAGGGGGAGAAAGCAAGGGTCCACCCATGGAGGGCTCCTGGCAGGAGGACCCCAGGGTCCCACTCTGGAGCAGGTTATGACCAGGAGACTGGCCAGGGCTCCAGGGTGCGGATCCACTCATGGGCACCACTGGCCACACACGCGTGTGCGCGCACACGCACTGCAGGCAGTGGAGAAAAGCTCTGCGTCTCGTGCACTTTGGGCACTGCTGACCCCCCAAGCCCGTGGCACCCAGCACTTTCCAGCATGGGTGCCTGGGCTCAGGGATGGGCCAGTTTCCTCCCTGTCACCAACCCCACCCTTCCCTCAGGTCCTCGGGGACAGCCCTGTCCCCCAGCCCTCCTGGACATCTCAGCCCAGTTCCTCCTTCTGCCCCCAGCGCCTTGGCTCCTCTCACCTGGAGAGCTCGCCTGCCCAGCCAGGCCCTTCCAAGGTCACCTGCCAGTGTGCCACCAGCTGCTCTGGAGGGTCCCTTCAAACCTGCAGTAGCCCTGCTACTACCCCCCACAAAAGTGCCCCCCCAGGTCAGTCCCTGCAAACCCTGTCCCCCTCCTCCGTGGCTCCCTCTGCACTGGTGTCTTCCCAGCCTCCGGGCTCCCAGGAGGAGCTGGGGCAGATTCTGTGCATGAACATTGGCTGCGACTGGCCTGGACTGGGGGGTGGCTGTGGGGCAAAGTTGAGATTCTCAGAGGCAATCGCGCCCCTCAAGAAGGCCGCACAGCACTCTGGGAGAGAGAAGGATCTGGAGAGTGAGAGGTCAAAGGCAGCCTCCCCTCCACCACACTGAAAAACCCCGCGATCCAGCTCTGCACATCTGGACACAGAGTTCAGGGTGGCTTTTATTTCCCTTTTGTGTTTATTTGTATGTATATGCCATTTTTATAATCAGAAAAAAACACAGACGGAAGTGTATAGGCAGATATATACCAGGTGACCACACGTCTATGAAAATGTTTGAGCAGAAAGACTGTAAGAGACATGGAAGTGTTGGCTCAGATTACCTCTGGGTAGTGAGAAAAGAGGGTGTTTTTCTATGTTTGTAATTTCTCTTTGATGAGCATGTACCTTTTTTGTAAAAGAAAAAATAGTTTTCTGAAGATATCATTGCTGAGCTCCTGTGAGTCTGAAGACACCTCCAGCCCACCTGGGGCTGGTAACCCTTGTGTGGGAGCTTCCTTCCACTCGGCAGACCCACAGGACCCCTGCCCTGCCCTAGGGAAGTGCAGGCTGGGCTCGAGCCTGGGAGCTGCCACACTGGGGGGGGGTGGGTCCACTGCCTCACCATGGAGCGGTCACATTGGTCACACCACCAAAGACTCACTGGTGTTCTGCAAACTGGTGCATGGCCCTACAGGGAGGGCCAGAGAAGCATTAGGCCTGGAAGCCACGTAATCTGTCCCTGTGTGAGCAAAGTGGACATTTCTTCCCACTTTATAGAGAGTACATTTGCTCTCACCCACTGTGTAACAGATCATTCCCAACCACATGGCTCAGCTCGGTGCCTAATTGCCATCTTAGGAGTCACACACGGCCTGGCTGGGCCTATATCGCTTTAGTGTTTTACGCGCCATATTCTTCTCCCAAACCTGCGAGAATGTCCGCGTTGTTGTTCTTTGCAGACAAAACAGCTCAGACTTGGGCCAAGTGAGCAGGTCACAGTTTTGTGCCCAGATCTGACCCCATTTGTTTGACCTCAACATCTGTAAGCTGCATTCCCCTCCACCAAACCCCAGAGCACAGGGAGAAATGCCCACAGCACAGTCTGGATGAAATCAGTGGCAGGTAAAATTACCTATACAATTAGTTTATAAAAATCCCATAAAGTGCGTGGGGGAAATGAAGAAAATTTTGGAAGAAACCCTAGAATAATCATTGAGAAGTACGATTTCTGAAGTTTTTCTCAAATGTTTCCTTACAATGGTTATACTTTTGTATGTTTTTTATACTACAAACAATTTAGGCTGATTTTAGACAAGTGTCAACAGCTCCAGCTCCAGCAAAGGTCTTCTGGAAGTTTCTCTAGGACAGGGGTCCTGTCTGACCACATTCAGAACCCACTTGTGCAGAGCCTCAAATATATGTATCTGCTGACTGTGTTTTCTCACAGTAAAAATGAAATGTCTTTTCAAAACATGTATTTAACTGAACTGAAGAATTATACACATGAAAAATAACTCTGAAATCCAGCAAAGCAACGAATTTGAAACACTGAAACCAACATCTCATTTGTAGGAAGTGGTTAGTGTGGGGATTGGTCAACACGCAGATCAATTCCACAGGAAGACTTCTGGATTGGAAACCACCAAAAAATATTGCAAGGAAATTCATCTGGGATTAAAGTTCTTTTTTCAGGCATCTTACACTCAACTGCACCTTTGTTCAATTGAGCACAAGAAGCACAGCCTCCGCGCACGGGAAATGGATCCTTCAGCAGAGAAGTGTCTTGGGCTCAGAGCTGCTCCAGAGACCAGAGACTCTTTCTTTCCCAGTGACTCACCCCAGAGCTGGAGGAGACCCCAGCCTCCACTCCTATCCTGGGCCGGGCCCCAGCCTCCTCCTCCTCCGCCTGCTCCTCCTCTCTCTGCCCCTCCCTCCCTCCCTCCCTCCCTCCCAGGCAGTAACTCCGGCAGAGCAGAGACAACTTCTCTCTCTCTCTTTCTCTCTCTCTCTGGTCGTTGTCAGCTCACCCTGACCCCTGCCCTCCCTGGATGGTGACTTGCAGGCCGGTGACATGAGGCTGGCCCCCGTTCTGCTTCCCCTGCTGCTGCAGGCCTTCCAGGCCACAGCGCAGGACCTCCCGGCAGTTGAGAGGGCCATTGCCTTCCAAGGTGAGTGGACTTGCTGAATCTCCAGCTGTGCTTCCTGCTGCCCGGTGAGACAGTGCCTGGGGCTGGACGCATCCAGCCCCGAGCTGGGGGGCCCTGGCCTCTTTCCTTGACGTGAGTGCTGTAGATGGGGGGCCTTGTGGGGTTGCTTGGAATTCCCCAGCTCAGCAATGCCCCTGGGCTCTGGTCACCAATGCAGCCAGCTGGGAGGACCCGCTGAGGACTACGAACTTTGTCTGGGTCTCAGCCTTCAGCTCTTCACGAGCGACTGTCCTGATGGTCAAGTGCTGTTTTTTTCTCAACCTCAGTTAATTCCATTTGATTGACTCCTTGCCTGGCAGTCAGTCAAGAAACACGGTTACCTCTTCTCACACACCTTTTTCTGAAGCCCATGCCCCTGGTAGTAAATGTAACTTGGAAACTTAGTGAGAGAGCAGTTAGTTGACCAGGGCAGGGCTCCGTGCCTTCCCGGGGCCTGGCAGGATTCTCAGGACTGAATGTGGGGCTTCTCATGGTCACCCCACCCCACTGCTGGGTGCCAGCTTTCCTTGATGAGAACCACTCAGTGCAGCGGGGAGCGGAGGGGGGGTGCTGCCCGGGGAAGTGGCTGGTGGGGTCAGAGTTGCCAGAAGGGAAAGTGGGTAAAGGTGGCCTTAGTGCACCCTCCAGGGCGGAGGGCGTGAGCGGCGGGTCTCCTCCTGTCCCCGGCCCAGACTGTCCCGTGGACCTCTTCTTTGTGCTGGACACCTCTGAGAGCGTGGCCTTGAGGCTGAAGCCCTATGGGGCCCTGGTGGACAAGGTCAAGGCCTTCACCAAGCGCTTCATCGACAACCTGCAAGACAGGTAAGAGGGCACATTTTGGCCTCTCTTCTGCATTTCTATGCACCTCTCAGAGGAAGGGCCAGTGGGCCCAGGGCACCGTCCGGCCTAGTGCCATACCTGCCACAGCCCGGCAGGTAGAGTCTGGCCTCCACTTCCCCATCTGAGGAGAGCGTTGGCCTGGTCACTCGAGTGCCTTCCCAATGTCCACAGAGGTTCAGATGCGCCAAAGGAGGGTGAGAGATGGAGCAGGTTAAGGGAAGGAGGGAGGGGCACTTGGTCAGCAGGAGGCCCAAGGGGACAGTCCTGTCACCCTAAATGCATACGAGGAACTGCCTCCCACCCCAAGCTGAACAGGTTGAAGGAGGCGGCCTGAGGCCCTGACCAGGCCTGGAGGGGTGCACCTCGCCAACCACCTGGACACTAACTGCTGCCCACATGGGCCGTCAGGGCCTGTGCCTGTGCCCAGTGTCCCAATGTGCCCAGTGTCACAGACCCAGGGGCCTGGAAGGGCCACCAGCTTGGTTCTGGGTTTGGGCATGCACACTTCATTCATTCATTTACTCATTCATCTGTGCGATGCATTCACAGCAGTGCCAGGGTGGGGTGGGGAGGGTGTGGCCAAGGACAGGGCCCGCCCACAGTGGAAGGGCAGGGCAGTGGAGGGGGTGGGGCTTGGGTCAGAACTCAACTCCTCCCCCCTCCCCCCAACCCCCCACCCCGGCCTGTACAGCGCCCCATCCTTAGTCCCACCCTGTCCCTGCTGACCTGCTGGCCAGGGCCCTGAACCGCCCCCCACCAGTGGGGCCACTGGGACAGAGGGTGTGGCTGCCCAGTGCAGGGTGTAATGATACCTGAAACCCCACACCTACCCTGAATGCCCAGGTCCGTGGGGCGGAAGGATGCTGGAGGCTACAGGTCCATGCCTCCCGGAGGGATGCTGGGGCAGCCATGTGGGCCCACGTCCCCTTCCATGTGCCCTTGGCCCCTTAATCAGCCTCCTGTGCCTCAACTTCCCCACCTGAGAACTGGCATAGGCTCCTCTCCTGATTGTTAGCATGGCCACAGGAGCCTCAGTCACTCCATCTGCTGAATGGGCTGCTGGGCAGGCCACCCCCAGGTTTGGGCAGAGCAAAACCGAGGGCCTCAGGGTCCAAGAGCACGCAGCAGAGAGAGGCACCGAGTCATACCCATGGGGACCCCTCACCAGTGTCCTGCTCAGAACTGGCCTCGCCCACTAACCGACGCTCCCCACTGCGGCGTCTGCCCCTATCCCCCTGCCCACCACTATTCACTGAGAGGTCGACCCCCACCGCCCCGCCCACCGCAGTCCAGGCACACACAGCTGCCCATCCGAAGTCCCTGGAAATCAGGAGACTGGTCTCTCGCTGGCTGGAGCCGGTGCCTCCTGACCATGCCTGCCTTCTACATGTGGCCACCGGCCCAGGAACCGGGCGTCTCAGGGCCGCATGGGAAGTCCAGCCCATGGCTGGCAGGCTCCTGCCTCTGGGGCGGGATGGGGCCGGGCGGTCTTCCACCTGTGAAAGGTGGCGATCTTGCGCCGGGTGGACAGCACCTGGGGAGCGGGAGGGCCGCAGGGTGCACTCAGGCTTGGGCCTGGGAGGCCCTCTGCTCATCCGCCACCCCCGCAGGTACTACCGCTGCGACCGCAACCTGGTGTGGAACGCGGGCGCGCTGCACTACAGCGACGAGGTGGAGATCATCCGCGGGCTCACGCGCATGCCCAGCGGCCGCGACGAGCTGAAGGCCAGCGTGGACGCGGTCAAGTACTTCGGCAAGGGCACCTACACAGACTGCGCCATCAAGAAGGGGCTGGAGGAGCTGCTCATCGGGTGAGCACCCCCACCCCCAGGCCTGTGCACGCGTGGCCGCTCCATCTGTGGGCCAGTGCTAGGCCTCAGTCCGGGGCGTGGCTTCTGCCTCTGAGAAGATGCGCAGGCCCTGGGTGCCGGAGGGCCTCCACCTTCCTGCCCGTGGTGGTCGCCGCCCTGAAACTCACCAGGCCTCAGGGCCTGCTCATTGGCAAACCAACCTCCGGTGCCCAAGATCCCAAGACCAGGACCAGTCCTAGTGGCCAAGGGAATCATGCTAGTGACCACTGCCCAGCCTGCCCTCGTGGCCCCCATGGGTCACTCCGAGTCCCTTCATCCCTCCCTGGAGCCAGCCACTGTCACCTCATCCCATGCTCGGGACCTGAAATGCCCCCATCACTGCCACCTTTTGGCCAGGCAGAGGGGACGCCTGCTGTCAGAAACAGAAAGACAGAGACGGACATACAGAAGACAGGGGCAGAGGGCGGACATGGAGGGAAGGGACAGACCCCTGTGAGAGCTCCAATGTCCCCAGCGCTGGCCCTGCACATGACCTGGAACCTTTGCAGCAGCGGGCACCCAGCAGCCACCATGTCTGGGAGAAGGTGGGCTCCCGGCTGTGGCTGGGCCCTGCCGCCGCCGCCAGGGCCCCATCCCCTCCCGCTGCCTGTGGCTGAGGTCCCGTGTCAGGATGCCTCAGGGTGGGCGAGGGCCGGCGTCTCTCCCCGGCTGTATGTGCAATTTCCAAAATAGTCTTTGAGGGAAATGGGACCCCACAAAACTGCGTTCTGCTTCATGTCTGTTTTTATGATCCCACTTTATAGCAGGATCAACAAAGAGAAACATTGTTCAGTGAAACTGGAAATACCACTTGGCAGAGCAGCTGGGGTCTGGGTCTCCCTCTGGGGTGTCTGTTCCCCATTCCCTCCCTTTGTCTCCAAAGGGAGCCCCGTACTGTCGGGGTCAGAGGTGACATGAGGGAGCCGGAGCCAGGCTGGTCCTCACAGCTGCTCACCCCCTTGCAGGGGCTCCCACCTGAAGGAGAACAAGTACCTCATTGTGGTGACCGACGGGCACCCCCTGGAGGGCTACAAGGAGCCATGCGGGGGCCTGGAGGACGCTGTGAACGAGGCCAAGCACCTGGGCATCAAAGTCTTCTCAGTGGCCATCACGCCCGACCACCTGGTAGGAGCCCCGTCCTGGGCCTGTGGCCAGGGAGGGGGCACAGGGCACAGCCCGTGGGCGCAGAGACACAGGTGCCAAGCCTCAGGACAGGGCGGGGGGAGGAGCAGAGGAGGGGAGGGGTCCGCACTTGCCTCCGCCATCGTCAGCCTTGTCCCCCCTATCACCCTCACTTTTGCCGTGTCTGTCCCAGGAGCCACGTCTGAGCATCATCGCCACAGACCACACGTACCGGCGCAACTTCACAGCGGCCGACTGGGGGCAGAACCGCGATGCGGAGGAGATCATCACCCAGACCATCGACACCATCACCGACATGATTGTGAGCGGCCCCTGCGCTGGCACCTCCCCGCCGTCCCCGCCCATGTCCGCATGCCGGGAAAGCCCGTGGCCGCAAATATAAATTAATTTGACGTTTTCATTTTATTTTCAGAAAAATAATGTGGAACAAGTGGTAAGAGCCCCTCCCCTCCCTCGCCCCTCCCCCATTGCCCAAGCCAAGCCCTCTGAGCACCTGCAGGTATCTGGGGTGCGGCAGCTGCGCCTTGGCTTTCTAACATGTCGCTCTGTCCCTTCTCTGGCAGTGCTGCTCCTTCGAGTGCCAGGTGAGTATGGGCACCCCGCCCACCCCTGGGGCCTCCTGGGATGGTTGGTCTCGGGCTGACTCTTCTCTCTGCCTTGCAGCCTGCCAGAGGACCTCCTGGACCACGGGGCGACCCTGGGTATGAGGTGAGTGGCCACACCCTACCCTGGCTTACAACCAGGAGGTGCTGAGGAAGCGTGGGAGAAATGTCCCTGTAGCCTGGCACCCCAGGCAGCTCTCCTGAGCACCCGCCATGCACCTGCCACTGGGCCGGGTGTGGGGACAGCGAAGGCAACCCTCGCTGAGCAGGTGCCCCCAGCCATGGGGAGAGAATCCAGGCACAGCAACCCTGAGGCCGGTGGGGTGGCCCAGGGCTGGCTGAGGGGACAGGCGTCTGCAGCTCTCGCGCCCCCTCCCTGTGGTGGAGGAAGTGGCCCTTTCTGAAAGTGTCCCTTGAACGCTTGGCTCCCGGAGATGAGCCTTGATGGGAGATGGGCGCGCACTTGCGGCCCCGGCCAAGGCGGCTTACGCAGGGAGATTTTGAAAATCAAGATTTGTTGCCAGTACTTACAAATTGGAACGTTGCTCAGGACAGTCCAGATTTCTGGCTTCTAAAAAATGTCAGCTTCAGCGGCATGAAGCCACATGGCCACTGACCACAGGAGCTGAGCCAGCATCTCCCGGAGGGCGGGGCCTTTGTGCCGTGCAGCCCACCTGGGACCCCAGCTCAGCAGCAGGAGCAGGCGCAGGATGGCAGAGAAGAAAGATTCAGGGGCCTCTCTCCCGCTGGCGGGGCAGCGCCACGGCCTGGCGGGGCGTGAGGGAGGGGCTGTGCAGAGCTGACCTCGAAGATCCCAAGATGGGCCACAGGTGATGGAAAAGGTGGTTGAAAAGCACACAAGCCAGCAGGGGTCCTGTCATCAGCTTTGCAAGAATACTTGGGAACCTGCCTCCTAACCTTGGTCTGCTTTGTGTTCCAGGGAGAACGAGGGAAGCCGGGTCTCCCAGGAGAGAAAGGAGAGCCCGGAGACCCTGTGAGTGTCAAATGCCTGACCCTGGGGCTGGGAGCACTGAGAAGCCTGAGGCTGAGGGGCCAGGCCGCAGAAACTTCCAGAAGCATGGCTGTGCCCGAGTGCCATGGTCATGGTCCTCAGAGGACACGGCCCCCACGGGCTGCCAGGGCCGGAGGGGGCACTGCACAGACATTCCATCCAAAGCATCCCAGCGCGGGGGACCCCACATGCCCCTCAGGCCTCCACACAGGCCCAGCCTGTGCTCAGTGGGGCTGGCGGGGGGTCGGCCAGCAAAGTCCCGTGATCCGTGCCTCGGCCTTGGCCAGTCTCCCCACAGCCCGCCCCTTGCTCCCCTCTGGAGCTCTACTGAGGAGCCTGCGCCCCAGAGCCCAGGAGCAGAGCAGGGCAGCAGGCCGGGGGCGTGGCCAGGGAGCCCAGTCTCTCTGGCTCACCAGGCCTGAGCGGGGAGGGAGAGGAGGCGGGCTGGGTGGGGGCTGCCCCTGCCCCCAGGGGCGGCTAACGCACACCTTCCTTTGTGTTTCAGGGAAGGCCAGGGGACCTGGGACCTGTCGGCTACCAGGGGATGAAGGTGCGTCTTCCCTCCTCCTCCGCAGTGGCCTTTCCGGGGGCTGAGCCACGCGCATCAGGGCTGTCCCAGGGAGCCAGGCCCTGGGACGCCAGTAACAGTCCCCCTCTCCCCCTCTGTTTGCCGTGTAGGGAGAGAAAGGAAGCCGAGGGGAGAAGGTGAGTGAGGCACAACTTTGGGGTGTGCCCTCCAGGTGCAGAGCGGCCCCCCTCACCTGGACAAGGACAACGTTGCCCATCCCCAGTGTGGCTGGGCCCCCATGAGCTGGTGGGGGGTTGACCTGTGCCCCTTCCCAAGGGACCTGGGGAACCAACCCCTTCCTTGCTGTCCTCCTCCACCTCCCTGAGAGGACACGGCCAATTTCTGGGGAACTCTCCCCATGACGGGGGCGCCACCCCCCTCACCCTCCCTTCCTGTCTTCGCAGGGCTCCAGGGGAGCTAAGGGTTACAAGGTGAGTATGGCAGTGGGGACATGTGTTCTGCGTCACGGGTGGGTGCTGTCTGTCTGACCTCCCTCTGACCCTTTGGCCTTGGCACCTCACAGGGTGAGAAGGGCAAGCGCGGCATTGACGGCATGGACGGGATGAAGGTAACCCCAGCCAGGGGGAAGGGCGGGCGGCCCGGGCACACGGTTCAGGGGAGGGACAGGGGGCAAAGCCAGGGACTTCTCCGGACGTCGGGACCCTGCTTGGCAGACAGGGACCTCAGGTGGACACTCCCTGGCAACTCGGAGGTAGTGGGGAAGGCTGGAGACGTTCCTTGCCAAGCCCGAGGTCCCAGTGGACCCCCAGCCACCTGGCCAAGATCAGAGCAACTTCTGGAGTGCGGCTCTCCTGGGGGGGGGGGGGTGGATGCGCCAGAGCCAAAAAGGCTTGACTACCGAATCTTCCTTCCTCCTTCCTCCTTCCAGGGGGAGACGGGGTACCCTGGCCTGCCGGGCTGCAAGGGCTCGCCCGGATTCGATGTAAGTCACTTTCTCTCACCAGCACTTTAAGACTGTAAGTTCTCAGGTGGGAACATTGGTTCAAACCCTCTGTTGACGCTACTAAGAAATCACCAGAGGGCTATGCTGCATGCAAGTGTGCCACCTTATGGCTGCTTGGTTAAGACCGTGCACTGACTTCTCCAAACTTCTCACCAGGGTGCTCAAGGACCCCCAGGGCCCAAGGGCGATGTGGGCGCATTCGGACCAAAGGGAGAAAAGGTTAGTGCTGTGAGGCCCCTGGGAGCTGGGCCGGGGCTTTACTGGCTACTGAATGTCCATAAGGTTTGTGGTCCAGGACCCCAGCTCCGGGTAAGACCGTGGACTGCTGCCGTGCTCTGTGGGCAGGTGGGGGGGGGGCGGGTACGGGGGGAGCTGGGGCTGGGAATGGTGGGAAACAAAGGTTGCAGGTCAGACATCACAACCAGTGAGCAGGTGCGTTTGCCCAAGGGGAACGCTCCCTCCTCCCCGCGTCACCGAGCCTCACACCCTCCAACGTCCATCGTACCTACGTTCTGCAGCAGGGGGAGGTGGCCCCAGTGCTTCTCGTTCCCTGGTTCACCCCAGGACAGGACAGGACAGGTGAGGCTGACCCTTCTAATCTTTCCAGGGCGAGCCAGGAGTCAACGGGGAGCCTGGGAGGCCAGGGAACACAGGACCCCCAGGAGACGAGGTGCGCATGCACATAGTGCCCACCCCACCCCTCCTTCCACTGCAGCCTGGGTATGGGAGAGGGGGTTACCCCGGCCCTGGGAGAGGCCCAGAAACAGGCCAGCCGCAGCCTAGGCACTGGCCAGGCCAGAGGTGAGTGAGTGTACCCTTGTTCTCCCTAGGGAGTCCCCGGAAATCCTGGTCCCCCGGGAGAGAGGGGTGAGGCCGGCGACGAGGTAAGCACCCACGTTTGGCCACCTGCTCCCTGTTCCTGAGACTCAGGATGAGCTCTCATCCCAAACTAATGCTTCTGTCCATTCTTCTCCACCCCAGGGCAACCCGGGGCCGGACGGCACCCCCGGAGATAGGGTGAGTCCAGCAGGGAGGTGCCCTGGGCTCCCGGGCACACTGCTTAGCGCCAGACATGGCTGCATCACCAGCGGGGAGCTTTCTGGGGGAGTGCTGGTTCTGCGCCCAGCCCTCAAGTCCCTCCCAGTAGCAGCATCTTGGGGCTGCACCCTCACCTCCTTCTCCCTCTCTCCACACAGGGTGGCCCTGGGGAAAGAGGACCACAAGGAACCCCAGGCGTGCGGGGCCCAAGAGGAGACCCGGTAAATCACCAAAACCCCTGGGACCCCACCTTCTAGGGTCGGGGGTGGGAGGACAGACTGAGGTCAGGCAGACGTCAGGCTGTCAGAATCGCAGGGCACCTGCCACCAAGTCCCTCTGGCTGCTAGGTTTCTGTTTTCCCAAACAAATCAGTTCCCCCAGTGCAGGAAACGCGGCAGCTGCCGCCCTTGCCCTCACCCCGGCCTCCACACTGTGCTCCGCCGGGGGTCTGAAGGGAGGCAGGAGCCAGGCCTGGGCCGGACAGGCAGAGCCAAGCGCAGGGTCTCTCCCCCATCCCCAAGGACCAGCTCCTGTGGGAAATGACCATCTAAAGTCACGCGGAGACACAGGAGTTTACTCTCTGACATTTTGTCATACGTCCCTGCATTTCCTTCAGGACTGCGACCGACCCTGGGGTCTGTCATGCCCTTCACAACAGCGCATGCTACATTTCCAGCTCATTGTCTTCTCATCAGGCCACCTGTCTGTCACTTACTTAGCTGCACAACTTTCTATGTCACTTGGTTTCCTTAGCCCCACCCTTCACTTCACACCTGAGCTTTTCTAAATGCCTGCAGCCCTCCCCCCACGAGAACAACTCCGCAAACATTTCTGCAGACAGAGCTTGCGTTCTCCTTCGGACAGTCAAAACTTCAAGAGCGGGGACATCGGGAAGCTGCGGCTGCACAAACCTTGTGGCTGACAGGCTGAGGGTGGCCCCGTGGCCAAGCTGGGCTCTCTCTGGCCCTGTGGTCCAGTGGCAAGGTTTTGCTGATCTCAGAGGGCATGCACCGAGCAGACTCTGTGCCTGGTTTTTGTGGGGACAGGCAGGCCCCACCCCACAGCTCCCAAATTAGGGGAAAGGGGTGCTGAGCTTCTGACCTCAGATGCGGGCTGGGCCCTCAGCCCACTGCAGACCTGCTCGGTGCTGCAGCCCACCCCCCGCCCCCGAACGGGACACGTGCGAGGCCATGAGGGGCGGGTACATAGTCAGGTGTCCCAGTGGGGAGAGTGAGTCTACCCCAAGGCCCGATGCAGGGCTTGGGGAGGGACATCAAACCAAGCCCACCCAGCTGAGATCAGGAAATGGGACTGAAGGCCAGGCCACACCTCCAGGACGCACCCCTGGCAGACAGAGAGGATGGGGCACCCGTGACGGACCCCGTTAGCGAGCCTCCTGGAGAAGAGGCCATGCAGGGAGCGGCCGCAGACCTCGGGAGGAGCTGCTGGCCGCCTTGCCGGGCGTCCTGGAGCCACGCAAGTCACTCGACAGCTGAGCATGTGGCCACATTGTGGTAAAGAGGCAGGAACATAAGAAGGAAGGATGAGGCCTGGGAGCACAGTGGGCAGCACTGGGCCCCAGGCCTCGCCCTCCCCGGCCTCCGCGTCACCGGCTTGCTCCTTTCCAGGGTGAAGCTGGACCCCCAGGTGACCAGGGACGAGAAGGCCCCGTTGGTGTCCCCGGCGACCCGGTAGGAAACCTAACTGTCTGAGGGGGTGTCCAGATGGGAGCCAGGCCCACTGGTTCCCATTTTGGTGCAGAAATGCTCCCAGCAGCTCAGGAATCTGTGGGGAGGTCTCTCCGGTGCAGATGTGACCTGGGGTACCTCGGGGTGTGGGGGTCAGGAACCAGCTGCAGGAGGCCTGGGGCAGCTGGGGCCGCAGAGTGGGAATTGGTGAGGGCAGGCCTAGCTCCTGTGGCCCCCAGATGCCCAGCACTCACAGAGGGACCCCCGTCGTCATCTGGTGGGCACCTGGCAGAACACGGAGCTGAGGGAGAGACTCCCTCTGTGCCCTGCGGAGTGGGTGGGGAGGGGCGCCTTGGTTGGTGCTAGAAGAGGGTTGAGGGGGGCGGAGGCTAATATGCAGGTGGAGGGGGGTTGGGCAGGGCTGGCAGTGGAGGGCTTGAGGGAGCCCTGGGCCCCTGGGCACAGCCCTTGCCTGGTGGGGCTGGGTCACTGAGGGCAGAGCCCTGGACCAAGGAATCCCACATTGGAGCCCCCAAAATACATGGCAGTGGGCAGGGGGGAGGGGCCTGGCTCCGCTTTTGGAGCCCAGGTGTGACCGCCTTCCAGAGGCCATGCTGCAGAGGGTGGGCGGGTGGGACCCTGAGGAAGCAGGGGACTGACGGCCAGCGAGCGGGGCTGGAGGAGGAGTGGGGAAGGGGGGCAGACCCGCTTTGCCTTCCCCGTGGCCCGCTGTGTAAACTCACCGAATGTGCCTGTCTAGTCTCCTGTCAACCCCTGCACAGATTGCCCCCAGGATTCGGCTTTACAGAAAAATACTGTAATAAATATCAACATTAGCCTTTGATTCTGGCAGCTTCCTTTGTCTCTCCATCTGCACATCTGTCCTTCCACCCATCCTTCATCTAGTCACCCAGCCACCCATCTACCCACCCATCTATCTCCGTCGCTTCTTATCGGTCATTGACCCATTATCTGTTCTCTCTCTCTCCTGCCAGTCACCCATTTACCTGCCTATTCATCATCTATCTATCCATCATCTATTGCCTGTCTCTATGATTTATCTGTCATCTGTTCATCCACTCGGCCATCCATCCGTTCATCCATTCTCCATCCATCTTGAAATACATTCAAGGCTATATCCAGAATGGAAATTCTTAAGAGCAGAATTTCTTGGTCACACAGTGTGTGTATGTGTGTGTGTGTGTGTAATTGCCAAATAATTCTACTTGTCTATCAATTCCCCGCTAACATTCCCCTTAAGAATATATAATAGAGACTATACCCACACTTTTGCCAACATGAGATATTATCAGGCTCCAAATGTGCATTTTAGCTCCTCAGGTGAAAACCATGTCTGCTCTTTCTGGGAAAAGTTGAGCATGGTCTTGAGTGTCACTGTGTCTGGCTGTCCCTGAGGTTGCCCATTTCCTGCTGAAGCCCAGCTCCCATGTTGACGTGATGAGCCTGCAGACATTTTTCAAATTTGTGGTATCGGTTACTCAGGATGTCCTGTTCCTTTTCAAGGTTCCAGATACACTCAACCCCTTTTACTGTATTTTTTGCTTCTATCTTTGATTCATTTGGAGCATATAGGAATGGGCAAAAGTCCGTTACAGTTCTGAGTACACAAAACATGGAGTTTTGTGGTATTAGTATTTGTTAACTGTTGTATTAGATGTAAACCTCGTTTTGCCCACTCCTGTATAGCGTGTCGCTAGAAGTGGTGGGGGCAGCCAGCTTGACATTTTCTGTGAATAGCAAGCCTGTTTTTATAACACAATTTCTTACATAAGCCATTTTTCCTGGTGAATAAAATGCGTTTTCATCCTATTTTTCATCCCTTATCTATGTGGGTCTTCCTGGAGCTGCTGTGACATGCCCCCTGTCTTCCTATTTCTGCCTCAATTCCAACAGTGTAATTACTGTAGCTTCACAGTAGGTTTTTACCCTCAGGCCAGGCAGGTCCTGCTGCCTGTGACATTGCCCACCCCTGCCTGGCAGGAACCGAGGATGATGTCCCTGTGTCCCTGCTCCCCCTCTGGGGGCTCGTGCTCCCAGGACCAGCAGCTTTGGTCCCCGCAGCCAAAGCTCCGTGCAGCATAAGACATCGGAGCCGTGACCGTCACTGGGGTTTGCTCTCGAGCATTCCAGTAGCACCTGCATGTCCTAAGTCTTCAGGTGTCAGAGTAATTGACAGTCACTGTAAAAAAAGGGGAACAAGACACAGTGCGAGGGTGAGGGGAGCCCAGGTTGTAGGGACCCCGGGTGACGCTGGGGCAGCTGCTTCCTCTGGGAGGAAGCCCTGTGTCCCTCCAGCCTATGACCCAGCTGGGGACAGTCCACTCCCAGCTCGTGCTCCCAGCCTCAGGGGCCAGGGAGGGTGGGATTAGGCAGCTTCGGGACCAGCTACACTGACACTGGGCGCTCGACTCCCGGGCCTCAGCGCTGCTTCTGCCTCCAGGGCTCCTGCTTCCTTCCCACCCCGCCGCAGCCCCCGCAGCTGCAGACCCAAAGGCAGGCAGTACCCACACCCGGGGCTCCCTTTAAAACTTTCTGGGAAGTGTTTTTCCGAATCCCAAGAAAAAGCAGTGGAGAAATGCAGACAGTGGAGGAAGAGGTGCAGGCCTCACCCCTCCTCACCGCCACCCCGCCCTGAGCGCCACCCTCCCACCCCTGAGGAGGCCCCCGCTGCCCACTGGGAGCTCTGGGGCCCAGGGCCGGGCCCAGGAGGCGCCCGCGTGGCACGCCGCCAGCCGAGGCAGCCGCAGAAGCTCTGCCCAGGGTTGGTTTGGTCTCCGCTGTCTTCGGTGGGGCGCTGTGCTCCTGCTCCTCAGGGTGTGCTAGCAGGGACCTGCAGGTGCTGCCAGACAAGGCCTCCTGCGGCCTGGCCCCGGCCACCCAGGGCCTCAGTTTCCACCTTCCCTCCTGCCCCTCCCCTTTTTGTGTCCCTTCATGGGCTCTCAGGGCTGTGAACCCCGAGTGGGGATGCTGCTGGTCCTCCTGGCCAATGTGCAGTGTGTGGTGCTGAAGCTGTCCGAGGTGTGTGGACGCACCAGGGCCAGGACCACGGGCCACAGCTGGACCCTTGCGTGGCTGTAGCGAGGGCAGCAATGTGGCAGCAGCCCCCTGCTGCCAGCTGGTGGGCGGAACAGGCTGGGCAATGAGGAGTTGTCCACAGTTGGGAGAGGACCTTGTCCAAGAGGGACCTGGTCTGGAAATACCAACCTAACAACAGGGCCCCCGAGGGCAAGGTCATGGCTGGCGGGGCACGGGGGCCGGCCAGGTTTGCGAGGGATGTGCGCTCACCCTCCTTCCCCCAGCCTGGCTGGGGACGTCTGTGAAGTGCTCTGGGCACTGAGGCCCTGGGCCCAGAAGGGCAGGTGATGCACCTCCAGGGAGAGTGTAGGCGCAGCAGGCCAGCGCGCCGTCAGGAGGGCTGGTGCGGGTGGAGAGAGTCCAGCGGGGCCTATCCATCTCTTTGCAGGGCGATGCTGGCCCCATCGGACCTAAAGGATACCGCGGAGACGAGGGGCCCCCGGGCCTTGAGGTGAGCAGCCCTCCCTGCGCTCGGCTCCACGAGGCGCCAGCCCTGACCCCCGGCCCCTTCTCTCCACCCGCGCTTCCCTGGGGGAGGCCTCTGTGCCCCTGGCATGTGTAAACATTTCATTTCATTTCAGTACATGTGACTTTTAGGACATTTGGAAAACACAGAAAACAATTTTTAAAAGAAATCTAAAATAGTGCTGCCCAGGGATGAACAACATGAACACTTGGGCTTATCCCTGTCCAACGTCTCTGTCTTCCTTTGCATGTTATGCCTTAAGATTTGACTTCACAAGGTTTGTTCTTTTCATTATGAGTATGCGCTGGAAACCCTACCGGTTTCTCAAAACGTTGTTGACCTGTGCTTTGAACCACGCCTTTGTTTGGGTCTGTTTGTTTCTCCGAATGCCCTGTCAGGCTCACAGGCTGTCCTGGATTCCCGGGTTTCCCTGTCCATTTCTGCTCACGTGCTGGTGTCCCTGGGTGGGTCACGAGCGGGAGGTTGGACGCGGAGCCCCACGGGGTCCCGTTCTGCTCCAGTCGCACCAGCCCCAGGATTGTGGGGCTTCTTCTAATCATCGCCCCGCTGCTATTTCATTTCATTCTCCCTCTCGTTTTCCTCTGCGAAGCCTCGTGCCTCAGAGCCCACCTTGCTCAGCCCTCAGGTGCCCACTTATTCTTCCCAAACCTGCTCTGCTCCTCCTTAGGGTCTCAGAGGCGCCCCAGGGCCGGCAGGACCCCCCGGAGACCCCGGGCTGATGGGTGAAAGGGTGAGTGATGGGCCCAAGGGCACAGAGTCCTGGGGAGGCTCACACCTGGTTCTCTGAGACCCTGGGAAGCCCTGGGTTCGAGCTCCGAGTTCATGGGGTCTGACTGAGGGTCCCGGTTGCGGTCACTGCACAGGGAGCAGCCTCCCCAGGTGACTGTCCCCTCAGTGCCTGTGGACACTGCAGTCGCTGCGGTCTCTGTGGTCACCGGGCATGTGGATGCTTTGCCTGCCTACCTGCTCCAAGGTCCCGGGAGAGGTGGCCATGGGACCCCCAGGGCAGTTTGGGCTGGAAGACGCCTTCGAGACTGATGAGGGATCCAAAAGCGCCATTCCTGTGCCCATGCTACTTGGAGACGTCTTGGGCCTGGGTGCTTCCCACAGTGACAGGGCACGGTGTGTTCCCCCAGGGTGAAGATGGCGCCCCTGGAAACGGCACTAAAGGCTTCCCCGGCTTCCCTGTGAGTGCCCCCACATCCCACTGACCACCCTCCTTTTCGGCCAGCTGGACTCACCTGGGCCGGCGGGCTGTACCCAGCAGCTGGTAGCTGGATTGTCCTTGGGGGCCCCCTGTCAGAGCCCGTTGTGACCGTCCTGCCTCCCCCTGCAGGGCTATCCGGGCAGCAGAGGCCCTCCCGGGATAAACGTGAGTACACACCCACCGCCAGGCTACAGGTGCGCGCGCACACATGCACACACATGCAAGCGCTCCCACATACACACTCATGCAAACACCCGCACTCTTAGCCTGGGCTCTTTGCCAAGGCCCCCCGACATGTGTTTTCATCTATGGATGTCCCCACGGACATGCGCTTGGTGGCTGACACTGCCCTCAGGGTGCAGGCAAGCAGGGTCCTACCCCAACCTCCCCTAAACCTCAGGGTATCCTCTGGCCGCTTGCGGCCTCAGTTTCTCCCCTAGGAAATGTATACCGGGGTAGGGCAGACAGTATCTCCATTGTGTTTTTACTTTTAAAACTTCTCCTTAAAAATGAAATACATATCAACTGTACCACGGTAAAGCTGATTTAAAATAGAAAAATCGGTGAAGAAAAGGAGCAGCCAGGAGGCCGCTGGTGGACGAGTGGCCTTTCTGTCCGAGGAGCTCGGCCGAACGCCCGCAGGAGACACCGCCCAGCTACCGCCTCCCGCAGGCCCTGCGCAGGGTCCCGGCCTTGCACATGCGCCTGCCCTGGGACTCTGCGCCCCGCTCACCGTGTGTTCCCCTGTCACCTGCAGGGCACTAAAGGCTACCCCGGCCTCAAGGGGGACGAGGGAGAGGCTGGAGAACCCGGAGAGGATGTGAGTGCTCCCTGCTCCCCACTGCCCCCCGTGTTGTGAAATCCCGAGGGAGGAGACGGGGAGTGGCAAGTGGCTGTGTCTGTGACATATGCTGCTGCTTCCTTCCAGAACAAGGACATTCCACCCCCTGGTATCAAAGGCGCGAAGGGGTACCGGGGCCCCGAAGGCCCCCAGGTGAGTAGTGGTGCAGCCGGCCCAGGGGGCAAGTGGGAGGCGGAGGCACCTGGGGCTCCGTGGCTGCAATGAGTGCAGAGGGGGCTGGGGAGAGGAGGTTAGGAATTTGGGGAGCAGATTTCTGGGGAGGTTGCGGCTTTGACAAGAGGGATCAGAGGGAAGAGTTTCAAGGGGCACACTGGGTGGTGAATGGAGAGAGGGAAGGGGGGCCAGTCTCCAGGTGACAGTGACAGAAGCACCTCAAGGCCTGCTCTGGCTCCGCGCCCACTAACCGTGTGCTCCCCCGGGAGGGGCACCATTGGACAGAACAGAACACTCTACCTGGGTAGTGAGTGTGGGTGGGCCGCGCACAGGTCCCGGCCAGCACGCCTGCTGGCCACCAGGAAAAGGACTATGCGGGACAGTTGTCACAGAGTAGATGGCAGTTACTGGGTCTTCTCCAGCCCTTAAAGTGCAGAAGCCTCCCCTGTCCTGGCATTCAAGGTCTCCTAATGGGGGGTGGGGTCACAGGGCCAAGGGGGTCCTGCGGAGAGCTCCTGTCAGACCCCAGCTCAGGAACCTGGCGGCGGGGCCACAGGGCAGGCCTCCCAGCCCTTCTCCCACCTTTTCTCTGCCAGGGACCCCCAGGACACACAGGACCGCCGGGACCAGATGTAAGTGGGGTATCTATGAATGTCCGTGGGGGCCAACCACTCTGGCCAAGGATCCCATGGGGGTAGGAACCAATGACAGCAACAGGTGTACACATGATGGCCACAGGAGGACATACAACAGCCATGGAGAGACAGGACAGCCACAGAGGGACACATGAAGCCATGGGAGACACATGATGGCCATGTGCCTGTGACTGCACCAGGTGTCCGTGCCTTGGAAGCAGGGACATATGATCAGAGCAGGGCACACCCTAGACATTGAGAAACCCCACACACCCCCAGCCTGCGTGTGGTCCCAGGGGTGGGTGTCCAGAGGGCCAGCCTCACCCCCAGCGCTCAGGGCCACCCTGGCTGGATAACGGGCCAATCAGCCCATCTCACAAGTGTCCTCCCCTCCCTAGGAATGCGAGATTTTGGACATCATCATGAAAATGTGCTGTGAGTGTCTCCGCCCTTGAATAACTATTTTAATTGGAAAGAGCACGTCCTGTAGTCAGTGCCTGAGTGAGGGGGAGTTGAGTGGGAGTGCGGGGCGGGCGTGTGTCCCACCGGCGAGAACATCCCTGAGGGCTGGGCCACTCGCAACCCCGCCGCTGGCCTCCCTTCTCCTTTCCATGAGAGGTGGCAGGGAACCGTGGTCAGGAGGCCCAAGGAGGCGGGGGCGGGGGGCAGGAGGGTTTACCTAGGACTTGGGGTCTTGATGTCACCTAATCTTGTCTTTCTCCTTCTTCTCAGCTTGCTGTGGTGAGTGTCACTTTGTAACGCGCGTGGCTTTGGCTTTTGGGTAGACCGGCCGCGTGGATGGTGGGGCTGTGCCCCCCCACTCGGCACGTTGTCGAGCAGCAGCTGCCCCTGCCCCCTGCAGAGTGCAAGTGCGGCCCCATCGACATCCTCTTCGTGTTGGACAGCTCCGAGAGCATCGGGCTGCAGAACTTCGAGATCGCCAAGGACTTCATCACCAGGGTCATCGACCGGCTGAGCCGGGATGAGCTGGTCAAGGTGCGCCCCTCCCTGGCCTCCATGCTCTGGGGAAGGTGGTTTCCAGGAGGCAGGGGTCTTTCCTGACACCAGGCTGGAGACGGGCCAGGTCCTGGGGACCCTGGGGAGACAGGGCAGTGTTTCTCAAAAGCCAAAACCCCAACCCACCAGCATGTGAGAGTGGCTGCCAGGTCTGGCTGGGGAGAGGTGGAGGGTTGAGGGGACAGCCAGGGGTTCTCCTGACCTCGGTGCCTCTCCCCATGCAGTTTGAGCCTGGGGAGTCGCATGCAGGCGTGGTGCAGTACAGCCACAACCGGATGCAGGAGCACGTGGACATGAGGGACCCTAACATTAGGAATGCACAGGAACTCAAGGCGTGAGTGTGACGTGCCCAGATGGCCACACGTGCAGCTCTAAAGGCCCACCCTGCCCCCGCAGCAGGCCCAGGCCCGAGCCCTGACCCCGGTGCTGACCCTGTCCCTGACCTGGGCCCTGGGCCCTGGCCCCAGCCTGGCCCCGGTGCTGACAGTGCCCTGGCCCTGCAGAGCCATCAAGAAGCTGAAGTGGATGGCGGGCGGCACGTTCACGGGCGAGGCGCTGCAGTACACCCGGGATCGGCTTCTGCCACACACCTCGAATAACCGGATCGCCCTGGTCATCACGGATGGCCGCTCGGACACCCAGAGGGATACCACCCCTCTCAACGTGCTCTGTGGCCCTGACATTCAGGTGGGGCCCCCTCCAGGCCGCAGGCTGCCATCTTCGCACCCGGAAGCGTGGGGCACTCTCTCCGGCAGGGCTGGCTGATGCTGTCCCTCTCCACAGGTGGTCTCAGTGGGCATCAAGGACTTGTTTGGTTTCGTGGCGGGCTCTGACCAGCTCAATGACATTTCCTGCCAAGGCATAGCTCCCCAGGGCCGGCCAGGCATCTCGCTGGTCAAAGAGAACTACGCTGAGCTGCTGGAGGATGCCTTCCTGAAGAACATCACCACCCAGATCTGCATAGGTGGGCGAGCGGTGGGGCCAGCCAGGCACTGGCTGCCCACCCAGCAGTGCTGGAGCAGCATCGCAGCGCAGGCAGCTGGTTGGCAGCCAGAGAGAGCTGCTGGGCTCAGGCTTGGGCCCTCTCCCCGCATGGTGGGCGCGTGATCAGCATCGCCCGGGGATAGCATGGCATAGCGACAGCATGTCCCAAGCTGCCTGACCCGCAGGCCGCCCTTTCTCCTCTCTGAGCCTTAGTTTCCCCATTCTCAGAAGGGGTCAAGGCTCTGCCTCACCCCTCACTGGCTTGGTGGGATGGTCACAAAATAATGCCTGGGGACCATTCCATCAACTCAAAGATCCACCCTTGAATAAGGGGACACTCCTTCCTGGGAGGGTGGAGTGGGCAAGGTAGGGGGCTGGCCAGGCACTCAGGAGTGCCACCTGTGTGCACGGCTACACCAGCCTTCTGTGGGGATGCACTGGTGTCATCTCTTTGTGGGGGGTGGGTTACAGATGGAACAGGGGTCCCTGTGATTGCTGGCTTCATGCCACATGGGGTTTTTCTCTTACAGACAAGAAATGTCCAGATTACACCTGCCCAAGTGAGTACCCGGGGCGTGGACAGGGCTCTGGGGGTGGCATCCGGTGGGGAGGGCTGGAGATAACCCTGGTCGGATGGTGCCTGGCTCTCCCAGGCTCGGGTACCTCTGGCGGGCCTTCCGGCTACGCTGGGAGGCCCTGCCGTGTGCTCACAAGTGCCCCCCGTCCACAGTCACCTTCTCCTCCCCGGCTGACATCACCATCCTGTTGGACGGCTCAGCCAGCGTGGGCAGCCACAACTTCGAGACCACGAAGCGCTTCGCCAAGCAGCTGGCCGAGCGCTTCCTGACGGCCAGCCGGACCGACGCCTCCCAGGATGTGCGTGTGGCCGTGGTGCAGTACAGTGGCACCGGGCAGCAGCAGCCGGCGCGAGCGGCCCTGCAGTTCCTGCAGAACTACACCGTGCTGGCCAGCACCGTGGACAGCATGGACTTCTTCAACGACGCCACCGACGTCAACGACGCCATCAGATATGTGACCCGCTTTTACCGCGACACCTCTTCTGGCGCCGCCAAGAAGAGGCTGCTGCTCTTCTCAGATGGCAACTCTCAGGGGGCGACGGCGGCGGCCATCGAGAAGGCCGTGCAGGAGGCCCAGCAGGCGGGCATCGAGGTCTTCGTGGTGGTGGTGGGGCACCAAGTGAACGAACCGCACATCCGAGTCCTGGTCACGGGCAAGACGGCCGAGTATGATGTGGCCTATGGCGAACGCCACCTCTTCCGTGTGCCCAGCTACACGGCCCTGTTGCGGGGTGTCTTCTACCAGACAGTGTCCAGGAAGGTGGCACAGGGCTAGCCGGCCTCCCCCAACCTGAAACAAAGTAAAAATGTGATATAAATCTTCCTCACCAGCCCAAACAGTTAGAATTTTTTAAAGGAAAAGCTTGAAAAGCCGCCATGCGAGCGGGCTCTGCGTCCCCGTCCTGGGACCCTGTCCCCTCCCCCGCACGCCTAAACCCTCATCTCACCATCCCGAGTTAACACCCTGAACCTCCCGCAGCCTCCAGCCCGCAGTCCATAAGAACCTCTGAAACCTGATTTCTCTGGGGTGCCAGTTACGCACTACCCCTCCCCCGTCGCTAACCCTGCAGAACCCTCCACTTAACATCTCATTTACACATAGAGTCAAAGTCCACTACTTAATTCATGTGAGATGACGGACTACGTTTCGCTTTTGGAAAGCCAGCATTGGGAGGGTTTCTTCAACGCTTCTTACGAGGGTCTCGTCACTCACTGCCCGGACCTCGGCTCCGGCAGCCTCGGCCGGAGAGCTCAGGGCAGCGCGTCAGCATTGACCAGCATCTCCAGGGAACCACAGAAAATAGTGTTTCCTTGACCCCATGTCCTCGCTGACCCTGAGAACAAAGGTGCTATCCTGTCGACCCCCCCCCAACCCATCTACACAGAGAGGCCTGGGCACCTGGGCTACCTGGTAGCGCAAAGTGACATGCTTTCTTAAAAACAAGCCAAAGCTCTCTTTCCAAGGAAGTGATTGGCTCGGAATTATACTGAAGACCCTCTTTCTTTGTTAGTTTTAGTTTTTCTCCTGCCTGTGTTTTTCTCAACTGTGTCCCTGTCAGCAAATTTCCCAAATAAAAGTGTCACTCTTCTCTTTGTGGCTGTCTTTTTGAGGCGTTCGACTCCCGCCGCATTTGCACTTGATGCCAATAGGAGGACTTGGAGGAGGTCGGGGCACCTGGTGGGAGCCCACCTCTGGCTCAGTGCTGGCCAGGAGAGGTGCCCTTGACCAGGCACCATCCATCGACACCTCTCTTCTGGCCTGGGGAAAAGTGTTGGTTACATGAAGACCACCTATAGGTAGGGAGCCGCTGGGAGGGGCTCAGGCCCCCTGGAATCACAAGTAGATTCGACCTCAGGGGGCTGGGAGAACTGGCGATCAACAAGATACAACCCCAAAAGGGCCACATGCTGGCACAGAACTCCCAGGGTTCTGGGAGGGCGGTAGGGACTCCGGAGGCCCCGTGGGAAGACACCTGGGAGGCTGGGCCCTGGATTCCAGAGACACAGCGCTGAGACACGTCTGCCCCCATCGTGGGGAGTGGGCCTCTGCCTGGGGAAGGGTGGGGGCATGGGGGAGGCTGAGCCCACTCCCGTGCAGGGGAAGAAGTCTCAGTCACTGGAAGCCCAGGGCTCGTCTCTTGCCGGCAGGGCTGACAAGGGACCGGGGTCAATGTAAGTCCCAGCTGCACTCGGCCAGCAGGAGAGCAGGACAGGATAGCCATGTGGTGCGGCCCAGTGCCCTCATCAGAGCAGACATCGAACACCTCCTTGTTCGATGCCAAGGCACCTTCTGGACGTGCCCACTGCGAGGAGGCCGGAGGGCAAGCCTGGCAAAGGCAGCTTAGGGGAGGGTGGCCTAGGCCTGGGTGGGCAAGGGGGCGCCTGCCTCTCCCCAGCCCGCAGTGCACGGCCCCCTTCCAGTGGGCCTGGGGTCTCTCCCTGCCCCCCTGGGGGTGACCACCCAGGGGCCTCTTCCCGAAGGAGAGTGAGGATCGGAAATGTGCATTTCCCCTTTAAGGAGGAAGCAATCCTTTAATCCCTGTGACTCATCTCTAACTGGAATCTTCTCTAACTGGAACCAGCTGACAAATCTGAAATCTGCGACACTTTCCTCCTTGCCGTCCTTCTCAGCCCCTCGCCCCCCTGCCCACACCCACCAGGAAAAGGCGAGGGTCCCCTTCATTCTTCAGAAGTGAATTTTTAAAAAATGCATTATGATCCTGGTCAGGTGTCTCGGTTGGAGCATCGTCCCCATACACCAAAAGGTTGCAGGTTCAATTCCCGGTCAGGGCCCGTACAAGAGGCAACCAATCGCCTCCTTTTTCTCTTTCTTCTTCTCTCTCCAAAATCAATAAACATGTCCTTGGATGAAGATTTTTTAAAAATTAAAAATGTGTTATGAAGGAAACCTCAGACCCGACACTCCCGAGTCCTTTCCAAGTTTATAAAAGAATTATTTTAGATTGTGGCGCCCCTTTGTCCCAATCCAGACTCTCAGAGGACAGGGCCGAGGCTTCTCTCCCAGGCCCTGCCACCTCACTTAGGAGCCTTGGGGCTGCAATTCCCTCCTTCTCCCCAGAAGGGGGTTCTTTGATGGGAAGGGGGTTCTTTGATGGAAAGGGGGACCAACGGAGAGCTCAGGAAGGGCCCCCAACCCGCACCTCCTCCCCCATCAGGTCAGCCCCACCTGCTGGTCCAGGAGGGTCCCAGGGTCCATCTGCCAGGACTAGGGACATGCAGGACTAGCACTGGGGACACGCAGGGTGTATTGCACCCGCCCCCACAGTCTATCCACGTGTGAAGGGGGTGGTTAACGCCAACGTCTCCATTCTTGGCACATACCGGCGCTGCCGTGCGCTCAGGTGACGCCTGGGGCTGCTCTCGTCTCCACCTGTGAAAATGGCCACGGCGCCCGTGGCTTTGCTGTTAGTGCCGCCCGGACAGCTGAATGGTCGCACCACTCCTTTAGTTAGCATTTTTTAAATGTTTCTTTGTGGCCTTTTACTTTTTATCTCCTGAGACCCATGGTACTAGGTGCATGTTTTTTAGACAGCCTGCAGTGGCATTTTTTCACCCATCCTTGCTTTCTTTATGGAAAAATCAAACACAGATTTATCACTACAACCAATATTTGGTCTTTGTGGTGCATTTTTATGCTAAGGATATGCAGGAAGGAACATTTTTTTCCACCTGTAATTTTGAAAGCACACGGGAGGCGCACGTCAGAGGGCTGCTGGCCTGTGGTTCACTGGCCAAGACCTGTGGGAGTCGGCCCTGCCGGAGGTGTCTCCAGCCCAGAGGGCCCTCTGCGTGGGCGGCAGCCACTTTCTAAAGAGATGGTGGTAGCAACACCAAGGATGTTGTTGGCTCTAGAAAGTGACATCCTCCCCAAGGCAGGATCTTAAACTTAGGGCTCCTGTGTCTGTCAGCTGCTGAGATGAGGACATTTAGAGTCCCCAAGGGACTGAGATGCACACTCTAGTTAAGACTGAGTGCCCTCTCGGGGAGATGCAAGGTGAATACTGTGAGCTATGAGCCTACCAGAGTGGCTGGAATTATGCTGACACCACCAATGATCGGGAGGCTGTGATCCTCACAAGCTGCTGGTGGCTTTGTGAAATGGTACAACCCCTTCAGAATTTTCAACAGTTCCTAAATCCACACATGCCCCTACCACACAAACTCCTGAGCATGGACAAGAGCAACGATAAAATAAACTCTTATTTCCCAACGAAGACTCATAAGAGAGAGTTCATGGCAACCATATTTGTAAGAGTCAAAAACTAGAAGCAACCTGACTGCATGTCAACAGGAGATTGGACAAGCAAACTGTAGTTCATCCATGCCGTGAACTTGACTCGCAACAGAGGGGAGCAGAGGTTGCAGGTGAGTTTCACACGCACTGCACTGTGTGACAGAAGCCAGCAGAACACATGATGTAGGATCTGCTGTAGGAAGTGTGAGGACAGTAGTGGTGAGAATCCCACAGCAGTTGCCTCTGCACGTGCGGATTGGCTGGGAGGGCATGGAGACTTTCTGGCAAATGGACATGCTGTCTACCCTGGTGCTGTATGGGTTACATGGTGTGTGTTTATCAAAATTCTTAGGACTGTGCCTATGAGATATGCACATTTCCTCAGACAGGAAGGAAGGAAGGAAGGAAGGAAGGAAGGAAGGAAGGAAGGAAGGAAGGAAGGAAGAATGAAAGGAAGGAAGGAAAGAAGGAAGGAAGGAAGGAAGGAAGGAAGGAAGGGCACAATTGCTGCCACTGGTTCTCCCAACTACATCAGCTCCACATGCTCTTGAACTCTCCTTCTTGCTCCTGTGGCCAGGGATCTGCTCATCGCAGAGCAGGTCCAGCCTCCCAAGGTAGGTGATCCCTGTGAGCACCCTCCCTCTGGGCTTCCGTTAATGTAGCCATGTGACCCATCTCATAGGTAGAATGTGGTATTTGCCTATCTTGACCCTGCCCCCAGTGTACACACACAATTCATACCTCCCCTGGGTGTGACTAGGATGGGAGGTTACGTTACAGCAATTTTGCAGAGTAACTAAGGTACCTAATCAGTTACTTTGGGGCAAGGCGCCCCCCCCGGGTGGGTCAGAAGGCGGCAGAGATCTCTCCTGCTGGCCTTCGTATGAACTGCCCTGGGAAGGGGCCAGGCAGCGGGAACCCGATGGTGGACAGAGACAGCATGGGACCCCAGCCTCACCACCTCGAGGAACCGCATCCCGCCAACAACCAGCGAGCCTGGAAGCGGCCCCAAGCCCCAGATGAGATGGGCTGGGAGCTTGGTTCCAACCTATAAGACCCTGAGCAGGACGCGGCTGGGCTGTGCCCAGACCTCTGACCCACAGGAACCAGGTCCATTTGTGTTGCTTTAAGCTGTTAAATTGCTGATAATTTGTTATGCAGTTATGTTAGTTAGAAAACTGTCTTTACTTCTGAACCCTAATCCTTGTAAACGCTTGTCATATTTTAAGACGTCTCCCGCTCCACACCCCTCACTCCTGGATTCAGGCCCGTCGGCCCAGGCTGGTTACCCCTTTCCTTTCTCCCAGGAGGAGCAGGGTGGCGTCCTTCCCTCAGGCTGCGTGTTGGCCCCTCCCCCTTCCATACATCCCCTGTCACAGCTCCGACTCTGCCTGCCCTCTGGGGACAGCGCTGCTGCTGGGTACCCCGAGCAGGGGCCACCCCCCTCTTGGGCTTCAGTGCCTTCCTGCTGGTTTCCATCCTCACTTTACAGTTTGGATTTTCTCCAATGGGTGGGTCGTCCTGACTTATCTGCGGGGCGGGGGGAGGTGGTGTCACCACAAGGGTCCTCGTTAGAGAAAGGAGATGTGATCATGGAAGAAGGGGAGGGCATCAGGGAGACTGGAAGAGGGGCGGCTGCTGGCTTTAAAGATGCAGAAAGGGGCCATGAGCCGAGACATGCTGGGATCTTCTAGAAGCTGGAAAACACAGGAAACCCAGTGTTCCCGGGAGCCCCTGTGAGAGGATCCAGCCCTACTGACCCGTTTTGGACTCCTAACCCCCAGAACTAAATTGAATGATTTTAGACAAATAAATTTGTGTTGTTTCAAGCCACCAAGTTTGTGGCAACAGGCCTCACACTTTCTCACTGAACTGCAGTGTATCTTTCAACCCTGCCCCCACCCTGAAACCAGCAGTTGGACCCTCTCGAAATTCTTTTCCTGTTAAAAATCTACCAACGGGTCCAAAATTGTGCTTGGTCAATAAATGATGAATTGATGTGTTTATGAGTTGATTTTGCTCCTCACATCTTGAAAGTGGATTGTAGCACTTTGGCTCCAAACACTCTGGATTCTTCAGAAAACACTCAGTCAGAAGAACATGAGGGATGTGCCCCAGCCCAGCCCAGCCTTGGCCACACAGACGGGCTGAGAGGAGGCTCTGTATCCGCAGCCCAGGCTCAGCTCCACATCTGGGCAACTCCCTCAGGAAAGTCTCCATCACCCAGGGCTAGTCTCCTCTGGACACGCGTTTCATGAGTCTAACCC